CTACAAACAAAATGAACAGGCAGAACAGAAACATTCTCATAGATACAGAGAACATGTTGCTGGTTGCCAGATGGGAGGGCAGTTGGGGGTATGGGTGAAAAAGGTGAAAGGATTAAGAAGTACAAATTCATTGCTAGACTGACAATCCTCAAAGGGAAAGGGGTTGGGGGGTGGAAAGAAATAAACCAAATAACTTATATGCATAACCAATGGACACAGACAATTGTATGGGAAAAGGTGGGAGGGGGGCGGGACGGGAGGAGGGGGGGTCAATGGGGGAAAAATGAGGAACATCTGTAATACATACAACAATAAAGATTTAAAAAAAAAAAAAATATATATATATATATATATATATATATATATATAATTAATGGTACTCCACATGGATGAACTATGAGCAATAATTATATGGTATAATGCAAATATTGAATATTTCAACCAAACTTTTTTGTATTTGTGGAAGAGAAGTGTAAGTGCATGTGGTGTGTGTGTGTGTGAGTGTGTGTGTGTGTTGGATAGGAAGGCTAGTTCCTCAATATTCCATACCAGAAATTTAGAAATAGATCATTTCTAAACCTAAATAAAAATATCATTAAGTAAGTATTAGGGTGTTATTGAGAAGTAAAGAGTAATATACTAAAAGAAACAGATAAAAATGTTAAAAAGCAGTTTAAAACAACACAGATTTATTATCTCACATTTCTGTAGGTCTGAAGTATAGCACCATCCAAATTACCTTACTTTCCCCACTAATAAAGATGCTTTTGTAAACAGATTATTCGTTTCTCACTCTCTCACATTTCTTACCTATCAGGGATGTGGTCAAATCAAATACTATTTTTTCTTAATAAAACCATACAAAATACTGCATATTTGCTAGGATATTACACTCAGTGCCAAAAAATTAAGATATTGAAATAGTTTGTGCACATAATATTATACTTTTATACAAACTTTTTCAATAGATTTTATTTTCCCAATCTGGCCAATAAAAAATTCAATTAAGACAAAAAGAAATCCAGCAGAGTATGACCGAATTTTCTGCTCTGGGTCTCATGAGGCCAAATCATGGGGTTGGCAAGTCTGGGCTCCTATCTGGAGGCACTGGGACAAATTCTGTTTCCAGGCACATTCTGGTTGTTGGCAGGATCCACTTCCTCCTAACACTTTCTACATGGCCTTTTTGATCCTCAAGCCAGCAACAGCACTTTGAGTCCTTTCTGTATTTTTCTTTTTCTTTTTAATGAATGTATTGGGTTGACACTGGTTAATAAAATTATACAGGTTTCAGGTGCACAACTCTACAATACATCATCTGTACACTGTATTGTGTGTTCATGACTCCAAGTCAAGTCTCCTTCCATCACCAATGGGTCCTTTCCATAATTTGAATCTCTCCTCGTCTTCCACTGTCATCTAGATAAATTTCTTTGTTTTTATGAGCTCAAGTGATTAGATTGGGCCCACCCAGATAATACAGGATAATCTCTCCATTTTAAGGTCTGTAATCTTAATCACACCTGCAAAGTCCCTTTTGCCATGTAAAGTAACATTTTCACAGGTCCCAGGGATTAGGGTGTGGGCATCTTTTCTGGGATAAGGGATCAGGGCTAAGGAGGTCTGGGGCAAGAGACTGTTGTTTTTTGTAAGCCCTGTGGTATGCTGACTTTATAAAGTATGTACATGTTTTGTTTTGATCAAATTAAAATCAAGATATTAAATTCAATGACCAAATTTGCAAGTATTGAAATCAAATCTACTATTTTATCTAATGTATAAAATGTAGTCATTATACAATCTATATTATGCAAAATCCATTTTTATGTTTCTAGGCAAAATGACCTAAGATCTGCAAAGCTTATTAAGGAATGTTTATTAAGCACAACCATGGCTGTGCCCTTGTAGAAATTCTGATTTTGATGTACCACAGCACTCATCCTATGTATCAATTCCTATTATTATAGGATCTAGTCTGCTTATTTTTGAAGTTACTGCTAAGTAGCTCCTTCCTGTAGCTAAGAGTGGGAGATGACTGAAAACATATTTTCTTGATATGTAAAACAGAAGCCATCTTAGTTTATGTTGGGTGTCAAAATAGAGCTAATCAGTCCAACCTCATTTTACAGATGCCTGAAGAGAGGAAGGGACCTTCCCATTGTATTGCTACTATTCATAGCAAAGATCCTCACTTCTAAATGAGCTCCACAACTTACGGCCACTGTTATGAGATTTGGATGGGATGAGAAATCACTAAGTCTAACATCTGCATTTTATAGATGGGAAAGCAGATGCAGAAAGGAATAAATACCTGCCAAAGGTCATTTGAAACTCCTAAATTCTAAGCTAGATTTTTTTCCCTTGAACAAAGTAGCCTCCTCTTGACTAACCACCTGATACTAAGCCACATCTTATTCACTAAGTTCCTAGAACTTAGCACATTGCCTGGCACATACATGAATGAATGGACAAATGAATCTTAAGACACTGTAAAAATCTCACTTTGCAATTAAATGATTTAAAGTCTCAGTCTTCCAGTTAACAAGCAATAATGTAAAATGTTTCTTCTTTAGGTAGTTGCCTTCTTAGACAAATAAATACATCACTAGGTGTATTATATAAGCTGGAAAACTGCGCTGACTTGTTTTTCAATTCTGTCTCAATCAATTACTAACTGTGTGATCTTGCACACAATACATCATTCATTTTATGCCTGCTTCTTCATCTATAAAATAAAGACTATAATGTAACCTATCTCATGATACTCACCTAAGGATCTAGTGAAATAATACATATAACTTGGCACACAGTAGCTACTCAATAACTATTTTTTTTCCCTTTTATATAATGGTCTACCTAATAAATGCTGAAAACTAGGAGTAAAATATGTTCCTATTGCTATAGCTGATAAACTAAAAGTGGCCATTAGGAAAGAGGCCAAAGAAACTTCAGGAAGAAATCATCTTGGGGATTGATATAATAGCTAGCACATCCAAATGTCAGTAAAACTCCTCCCTTGCAGTAAAAGCGCGCCAAGATTCAGCTACAGTGTTTACCAAGAAAAAAATTTATTGCTTGATCTAATAATTAGGATTTAAAAGGAAAGAGACTCTGGAAATATATGTGTTTAGATCATTCTGACTCCTCTCCCCCTGAGATAAGGTGACCTTGTTTGTGGCTGATGGAATTTGTTTCCAGTTGATCTCATATAGACATACAACCCCACGGTCTTTAGTTAAATACTTTCTGTCATAGTACTCAGTGTGTTGGTATACGAAGAATTAAAAGGAGGTTTCTTAGACTCATAGATACAGAGAACTTTTTGCTGCTTGCCTGATGGGTGGGGGCTGGAGGAATGGGTGAAAAAGATGAAGGGATTAAGAAGTACAAATTGGTTGTTAGACTGATGAACCTCAAAGGGAAGGGGAGAGGAAGGGGAGGATGAGATAAACCAAAGAACTTCTGTACATATATGCATAACCAATGGACACCAACAATAGTGTGGGGAAGGCAGGAGGGGGTCAATGGGGAAAAAGGGGGGGGCATCTGTAATACATTCAACAATAAAGATAAGTTAATAAATAAATAATAAATAAATAAATAAATAAATAAATAAATAAATAAATAAGGTTTCTTGTTAAAAACAAAGCTATACTTACCTGGAGGTATATTTCCAGAATCTTCTTGATCATTCTAGATAGTTAACAGAACTAACCTGACCAAGATCAGTACCCCTATATACATGCTTGGGTTTAGATCCTGTGGAGATTCGGCGTAATTAACAAATGTGGTCTGGCTCAAGACCCATTCCTAGAGCTTAACACAAATGAGATAAAAACCCTCTGTGACATGTAAATCATTTTGCTGTAGTTACAGAAAATATGAAACTACATCACCATCTCTTAAAAAGACAGTTATGGAAAACTGATTTTCTCAGTCTCAAGTCTAATTTGCTAATGTGATTAATTTGCAACTAGGGGTCCCATTTCATGTATACCATGATAGCTTCCTTAAGTGTATTGTACTCCATTTTAAGCTTAATATTAGAAAGAACTAGTTTTCTTTTTCTTTTAAAATTTCCTTCATTGTTGAAAGTATTACAGATGTCCTTCCTTTTTTTCCTCCATTGATCCCCTCCTCCTGGCTCTTGCCCCAGCCTGCCTTCACTGCACTATTGTCTGTCTCCATGGGTTATGCATATATGCATATAAATTCTTTGGCTAATCTCTTCCTGCCTCCCCTCCACCCCATTCCCTTTGAGGTTTGTCAGTCTGTTTCCTACTTCCATGTCTCTGGATCTATTTTGTTAGTTTATTTTGTTCATTAGATTCCACATATGAGATCGTGCAGTACTTGTCTTTCTCTGACTGGGTTATTTTGCTCAGCATAACACTCTCCACATCCCTCCATGTCATCTCAAAGGGTAAGAGATCCTTCTTATTTATAGTTGCATAGTCTTCCATTGTGTATATGTACCACAGCTTTTTTAATCTACTCACGTACTGATGGACATGGGCTGCTTCCAGATCTTAGCTATTGTATATAGTGCTGCTATGAACATAGGGGTGCATATGTTCTTTCTGATTGGTGTTTAAGTATTCTCAGGATCACTGGGGTCACTGGGTAAAATGGCAGTTCTATTTTTTAAGTTTTTGAGGAAACTCCATATTGTTTTCCATAGTAGCTGCACCAGTCTGCATTCCCATCAGCAGAGTGCTAGGGCACCCAGTTTTCCATTTCCCTTAGTTACCATAACTTTAATTTATCAAATAATTAATGTCCTTTTAGGTACTGCTTGCAAAGGCTTACTAGTACTAAACTAAGGGCATGGTTTTAGCAGAAGACATAGCCTAGAGTAGCAGGGAAGTTTATGATAAATGATTGTAAGATAAAATAGCTATCTTGGAATTTTTCACATTTATTCTTTTAACTCTAATTTTTTCTTCCACCCACTATTTACTTTTCCAAAAACAATACCAAAGGAAAACATTTGGATGGCATATAAAAAGACAGTATTTATTTTATTCAAGCGTTCCTATAAGAAATTAAACATAATGATCCCTAGTTGAAGGCATTACCAAAAATGTTAACATTGTTTCACATATCCCTTTAGTGCCCAGATGAAGAAAACACTTATTTGAATGAAAGAATAAGAATGAACATTCTTACAGTAGGTTTACTTAGGTATGTGGAGAAAAATATCTGTATAGGTTAAACATAAAATAGTAAATGAACCTACTAATTTCCTTTGGTGATGAGAATCCCACTGATGTACAGGGTGGGGCAAAAGTAGATTTACAGTTGTTAGTATATGAAAGAGTTTATTCTTGTATTAAAATTATTTGTTAATTATTGAATTATTTTCCATATGAACAACTGCACATCTACTTTTGCCCCACCCTGTATTAAAGTCTCCAAGAGCTCCCAAGATCCGGGGGTCACTTTTCAACAATTATAAAACAGCCATAGCTGGCTACTCCCACAACTCATTGCTCCCCTTTTCCTCAATTATTTTACTGCTAAAAGAAGAGGATGGGAACAAACTACAATTTCCCTAATCCCATGATGCACAACTGTCAGCACCAGTAGTTCCTTGGGTAATAAGAATATCAAAGCACACCCCCCGCCACTGCCATCTAAATAGGATAAGAGGAAAAATGGTTTTGGGTGAGACATTTTGGCATTGTGCTTCCCAGAATTATAAAAGACCTGGCTAGGAAATAATCTCATTCCTACAAAGGAAAACCAGATATATATATGTATGTATGTATATATTTAGAGAACAGTAAAACAAAGTGGAACATCTATACCTGTCTCCCAGCCTCAATCTGATCTCAAAAATAAAAGTGCAGGGAGGCAACACTTTGGCATTTACCCTTGATCTAAAGCCCAATTTCCTTAGAAAAGCTAGGGTCACAGTGCTCCTTCCCTGCAGTGCAAGCAGGTTTCCACTTTTCCCCAAACCTATGAAGAGCAGGGATCTCTGATCTCCCTTCTCTTAACAGTAGGAATTACAAGCAGCACCATCTGATAAATACAAATGGGTGAATGTTTGGGGAATACAAATTTCTCAAGTCCCTACTAGTAATCTGAGTCTATGTGTGTAAGGAGAGAAACACTGAGGCAGAGGGGCAATGCCATTTCCATAGTTCTTTACATTTGGAGGAAGTAAGGGTAGAGAGAATATACATGTTGTGGGGATGGGTGAGAATGGAACCCTAACATATGCAAAAAATACATACAAACGTTGGAGCCTTGGATGCTGGCTATCTACACAAGACACAAAACCTGCTAATACCTATTCGTGACCATAAGGGAAAAGAGGAAAACACAACTATTCTTTTTATCAAGCAAATAGCAAAGTTCTAAGTGAAGATAATATCTCCTTTCTTTTTAGAAATTATATAGAGAAACAGTAAATGCTGAAAACCTTTGAATAACTGCAGATTCACATAGAAGTTACAAAATATGCAAGAACTTGTCATTGTTTCTCAGTCAATTCACAATTTACCTCAGATACAAATCACTCCCTGCTCCTCTAGGTATTCTGAGCAGATTTATAGTCTAATATCTATTGAAAAGTAAAAGACTACAATGAGGGAAAATGCAAAACGGGAGATCAGGTGTGGGAACTGGGGACTTGAAAGGTCTGAAAAATGGCTGGTGGAGAAAAAGAAAGTGGTAAGAATCGAGGAGTCCCAACCAGATTGTCCCAACCCTTTGAGGGAGGTGCCTCACACCTGTGGCCTAGCACAATCTGGACACATAGTAAATACTTTATATGAATAGTAGAGGAGAAGAAAAAACAATATATCACTAGAGAATGCAGTGCTTCAAACTCTAATACCCAGTAAGTTATTCTCTCTGCTGCCCTTAAAAGCCTGCAACGACATTGAAAGGTCTTGGTAAAAGAAGATGCCACTGCTTTTTCTGTAGCTGTCCCCGTTTTGACCAACACTGATGTCTAGGCCTTTCAAAGTAGAGGAAAATGCTGCTGAAGGGATGATGATTCTGGACCCTTAAGTTTTAATAGTCACAAACATTACTTAATGGGATCCCAAACAACAGATAAGAGATTTTTTTTCTTTTCGATTCTATTTCCTAGGTGGTCTCTGTGACTCAAGTTCAGCATTAGTATTTGCATGCAAAAATGAGTTTCCCAAAAAATAAAAGTTGGTAGTTGTTTAACACAAAGAATACAAAGCAGGTATAGATCCCTCAGGAAGCTGTCACATCTCTTGATAAAATTAACTCTACTGTCATCAACACTTTTTGCTTTGTCCCCTAGTTTGAAACCTTCATAAAAGATGCCTGCTTTTATAATTCAGTGAGAATAACTCTACTGTCTTCTCCAAAGGGCCCAATATTGTTAGGTTTGGGTTTTTTTGTTTTTTGTGTTTTTTTTGGTGCATGACTCAACATAAAAACCTGTGGCTCTGATGAGCTGCCTGTTTTTAAATGGTCCAGTAATTCTGGTTTCCATTTAACAAGTTCCCAGATAACAAACAGAAAATGGGATGAATCTTCACAAGGTCACATTGAAGGTTAAAATAAATTATCCCCATCACTGAGAGGTTCTCTTCAGGTTTTCTATCAGCACGACAGAATCAGTTTCTTCTTTGGTTTGCTTCTCATAGATGTCATACTTCTTCCAGTGCTGGAAGAAAGGGAAAAAAACACACATGATGACTTTTCTAAATAATGTTATTTCCCTGAGTACTCAGAGCCAATGCTTATTTTTAGCTTTGCATGGATGAAACCATGAGTGTGTTTCCTGTTATGTTTTTTTTAACCTAAGAATCTTATCTATTTGACCAATTAATGAAACAAAACAATCAGGAATTAACCTTAAAGAGGGAAAAAGCATGGGATTGTTATGTGACATTGAATGGCTATCTTAAAAGACCCTCTTTATCCACAGATTTAACCAGACTTGGATCAAAAATAGTATTTTCAATCCAAGGTTGTTAATCTGTGCATGTGGAAGGTCAACTGTATGCAATGTTCTACGCTATCTTATAAAAGGAACTTGAGCATCACAGATGTTGGTTATCTTGGGGGGGGGGGGTCTCCCATGGATACAGAGGGAAAACTGTACTATCTGGCATTTTACAGAAATAGTTTGCCAACCCTACCCTAGATTATTTCTAGGCTCCTTTTCTGATTTTATGATTTATGGTTCTACAATCCTAGGAAAGGATAGGAAAGAAGAAAAACAGAAACAAGAGCAACAATGGCTATTCAGCTGCCTCAGATTGAGCAACTGGAGATGGACTGAGCAAGTAAAAATGATCCAATCTTAGAAAGCCTATGGAGGGATGAGTTGGAAAACACTGCTTAAAACATTCAAATTAGTCTAAATGAATTATTTACCCTGATATTCCTAGAAATGCTAAAATAAGAAATGTTTACAAGTGTTAACAAGAATCCAGGATAACTGGATCTTTCACATATTGTTGGTGGAAACCTAAAATAGTACAGCCACTATGGAAAACAGTCTGATGGTTTCTTATAAAGCAAAACATATGCTTACTGCATGACCCAGCAATCCCAATCCCACGTGTTTACCCAAGAGAAATATGTCCACACAAAGACCTATATATGAATGTTTATAGCAGCTTTATTCATAAAAGCCTAAAACTGAAGACAACCCCAATGTCCTTGACTAAGTGAATGGTTAAATAAAATGTGGTACAGCTATATCATGGAATACTGCTCCGTTATAAAAAGAAATCAACTACTGATACATGCAACAACATGGATATCTCTTAAATGCATTATGCTAAGAAAAAAGGCAGACACCCTGGCCAGTTTGGCTCAGCAGTTAGATCATCGGCCCTCAGACCAAAGAGTCACAGGTTCGATTCTGGTCAAGAGCACTACCTCGGTTACGATTTGATCCCCAGTTCTGGTTGGGGTCATGCAGGAGGCAACCAATTGGTGTGTCTCTCTCACATTGATGTTTTTTTTTTTTTTTTTTATCCTCACCCGAGGACATTTTTGCATTTTTTGTTCAGACAGAGCGGGAGGGAGAGAGAGGAAGAGAGAGGGAGAGAAACATCGATGTGAAGGGACACATCGAGTGGTTGCCACCCGCACGACCAACCAGGGCCGGGGACAAACTGCAACCGAGGTACGTGCCCTTAGCGGGAACCGAACCCGGGTCTCTCTGGACCGCAGGCTGACGCTCCAACCGCTGAGCCAAACCGGCCAGGGCTCACATTGATGTTTTTCTCTCTCCCTCTTTCCTACTCTATTTGAAAATTGGTGGGAAAATATCCTTGGATGAGGATTTAAAAAAAAAAAAAGGTAGACTCAAAAACTATGTACTGTACGATTGCATTTATATGATATTCTGGAAAAGGCAAAATTTTATGGACAGAAAACAGATCAGTGTTTGCAAGAGTATGGGATCAGGGGATGAGGGTTCACTGCAAAGAGACAAAAGGGAACTTTTGGGGAATGACGTAAATGTTCTCTATCTTGCTTCGAGTAGTGGCTATAAAATTGCATACATTTCCTAAAACTCTTCCAACTCTATACTTCTTTAAAGTAAATTTTATTGTATGTAAATCAAATCAACAAACCTGATTTTTTTGTTGTTGTTGTTAATTCTCACCCAAGGATATTTTTCCATTGATTATTAGATAGAATGGAAGGGAGGGAGGGAGACAGAGAAGAAGAAAAACATTGGTGTTAGAGAGACACATAGATTGGCTGCCTCTCACATAACCCTAACCAGGGCCAGGGATCAAACCTGCAACCCAGGTGTGTGCTTTTGGGCAGGAATGAAATCCATGGGCCAATGAATGTTCTAACCACTGAACCAAACTGACCAGGGCAACAAACCTGATTTTAAAATATGAGAAATACACAGATTTCCAATTAAAAACAATCTGAAAAAATTATATAACCATAAAATAATTACTTATTCAATAAATGGCACTAAGATAACTGGCTAAGCACTTGAAACATTACGTTAAACCCGACCTCACAGGCTACATGGATAAACTCCCAGCGGGGGGCATGCAGGAGGTGGCCAATCAATGTTCTCTCTCATTGATGTTTCTATTTCTCTTTCCCTCTCCCTTCTTCTCTCTAAAATCAATAAAGAAAAAAATTATAAAAAGAATTGCACAAAAGAATCAACTCAAGCTAATGAACATATGAAAAAATATAAAAGTTGATATGTAAAATTAAAACAAGATGTCCTTTCCTCATTTATCAAATTGGCAAGACTATTTTTTAAAATTAGATACATTCAGGCAAAAGCATGGCAAAACAACCATTCAGACATACCATTGAGTCTATAAATTGGTAAAAACTAGATGTGATCTAGGCTTCTTGTGAAAGTTTAAGTGTGTGTATTCTAGTGCCCCCATTTCTTTACTATGAAGGACTCAGACCCTACATATGTAACCAAAGTGTTTAATAGCATATATTATATATTTGTGTACATCAGTAAAATAGATCTATCTCATTCTTTAATCTCTACATAATATTTCATTGCACAAATGCACCAAAACATATTTAACTATTATCCTTAATAGACATTTAACCTGTATATCCTTTCTGGATGACAATTTGTCAATACCAATCAAAGAGTTTAGAGGCATATAACCTTCTTTGATCTAACAATCTTACTTGTAACAATTTATCCCAAGACAGTAATAAAATATATATGCTAATATTAGCTGCGAAATGATGTCTATAATAATGAAGCTCAAAATTCACCTTTTTAATGGTTGAAAGTATGTATTACAGACGTCCCTTCTTCCCCATTGACACCCTCCTTCCCGCTCCCACCCCACTCCTGCCTTGCCCAGCCTAATGTCTGTGTCCATTGGTGTGCATATATGCATATAAATTATTTGGTTTATCTCTTCCCACCCCTCTCACCCCCATCCCTCTCAGGTTTGTCAGTCTGTTCCCTACTTCCATGACTCTGGGTCTCTTTTGGTCAACAGCTTATTTTGTTCATTATGTTCCACAAATAAGTGAGATCATGTGGTACTTGTCTTTCTCTGATGGGCTTATTTTGCTTAGCATAATACTCTCCAGGTCTCTCCATGTCGTCTCAAAGGGTAAGAGATCTCTCTTTTTTACAGCTGCATAGTGGATAAGGGGTTAATAATCAAAATATAGAGTCCTAATACAACTCAACAAAAGAAAGACAAAGATCCCAATTGAAAAATGGGAAGAGGACCTGAATAGACACTTCTCCATACAGGACATACAAATGGCCAAGAGACATATGAAGAAATGCTCACTGTCACTAATCATCAGAGAGATGCAAATTAAAACAACAATAAGGTATCATCTCACACCTGTCAGAATGGCCACCATCAACAAATCATCAAACAACAAGTGTTGGTGAGGGTGTGGAGAAAAGGGGACTCTAGCACACTGCTGGTGGGAATGCAGAATGGTGCAGCCACTATGGAAAACAACATGGTGTTTCTTCAAAAAATTAAAAATTGAATTGCCATTGGACCCATTGATCCTACCCCTTAAAATTCATCTTAATGCCTAATAATAGACTTGGTTAAGTACATCATAATATATTCACACAATGGAATACTCTTTAGCCATTAAAGATTATATTATAAGATGAGGGTTGGCAAACTTGTTCTGTAAATGGTCAATGAATAAATATTTTCAGCTTTGAGGGCCATATAGTCTCTGTCCCAATAACTCAACTCTCCTGTCATAGCATGAAAGCAGTCATAGATAATATATAAATGAATTGGTATGACTGTGTTTCAACAAAGCTTTATTTATACACACTGAAATTTCAATTTTATATAATTTTCATGTGCTATGATATAGTATTCTTCTTTAGATTTTATTCAAATGTTTAAAATATAAACAGCATTCTTAGTTTGCGGGCTATATACAAACAAGTGGCAGGCAGGATTTGGCTTGTGGTGTGTCATTTAGAGAAAATTCCTCTAACAAAGGTGGTGGTTGGCAGCATGGATTTTTATCTCCCAAAATGCCACCATAAAAATCACAAGTAGGAAGACTTCTGGTCAAGATGGTGACATAAGTAAACATGGTACTAGCCTCCTCCCACAACCACATCAAAGTTACAACTAAACTACAGAACAACCATCATTCAGAACTGCCTGACATCAAGCTGAAAGGAAGTCCTACAATTAGGAAATTAAAGAAGAAGCCACATCAAGACTGGTAGGAGGGGAGGAGGCATGGACAGGCTGGTTCTACACTCACACATAGTGGATAAAAATCAGGAGGAACACCTCGGCTGTGAAGGTCCTCCCTGAGGAGTGAGGGGTCCCCATCCCACACCAGGCCCTCAGCTCAGGGTTCCAGAGCCAGGAAGAGAAGTCCCCATAACTTCTGCTTATAAAAACCAGCGGGAACTGAGGCTGAGGGAGGCTGAGGCCTCTGGAGCCCCAGGCAGTTCCTCTTAAAGGGCCCAGGCATAGACTTACTCACTCAGACTCGCTTCCTCCAGGTTTCAATGTGGGGTAGGCAGTTTAAAAGGTTCCAGAGACCTACAGGCAAGAACTGAGTTGTTTGGCATTGGGGCAAGAGCTGGAAAGGCAGCTTTCTCCTGGATAGATTTGCTGGAGGAGGGCTGTTGTTTCTTTGGTGAGCCCTTCCCCAGGGCAGCAGATGGCTGCCATATCT